CCTTTGGGCCTAATTGACAATAATGTCTCTCTACTGACGAGTACATTTTCAGACGGAGACCATTTAGTCAAAGAAAGACAGACGAAGACCTTTTCCCATGTCCTAATTTTATCGTCATGTTTTCTCTTAAAAAAAAGAAGTGGGGCATAAAAATAGTATTTAAAGAAACCCTCACACTTTCTTCTATTATGCCATCTTTCAGAGAGAAATATGACCCATTATCGAGATCTGGCTGCTGCAAGATTATTTGTTCATGTGGTCGATGTTGTGTTGACGACACATATCGACCTATTCGACAAAGATTGGTAGAACACAAAAATGCTTGCAAAGGTGGCTGGATTCGACGGTCAGAAGTGGCCGAAGACATGTTATAAACTTTGAATGAGATAGATTAGTCTCAAACTAGTAGGTTTGCTGATTGTGCTTGGCTCTGTGCTTAATTCTCTTTCAAACCATAGTTACAAGAATTGGAATTTCGAAGTCAATGATTCTTAGAAGTATGAAAGAAGCAGTTCGAAAGCTCAGCACGTTTTCACCCGAAACGAGACAGGAAGTCCCATGGACTGCGTCAACATGAATATCGTCTAAAATCCAACGAGTTTTATCCGTCTTCATCCGGTCAGATCGACCAAAGAATCTCCTCTTCATGCACTTTAATACGAAATTAAGGTCCCCCTAAGAACGAAAGTTGTTATGCCAGCATAAATCAGTAGGAATTTCTATAAAACCAATTTTTTATCCACATCTTAGACATTCAACTAAAGCTTGTTGTAGCCCATGACTACTTGTGTTTGAGAGCAGCGTTGCTGGAGTCAGCAACTAGCTCAACTTCATCGTGGACAGGCAGTGATGAGGGGCTGAAATGCCATCAACCAAAGGAGGCATTTCACTCTATTCCGGCTTGAATGACGGATTCGAAAAAAAGTCACCCGCTCAACTACTGATCCTCATTGTTGACAAAACTCTTGTACAAGATGGATGTCGCATCATTGAATCAGAGCCTACTCATGTGTTTGTGGGGAAAGCCAATTATTAGTTCTTAAATCACTTTCAGCGAGCTAGACTGACTAAAAATGGGTTGACCTCGATGTCGCAACTTGGTCTTGTTGTCACGGCGACTATGTAGAACGCAGCTAGTCCGAAGTCGTCTGCCATAGTAGTTGTCATGACTGCCAGCTTCAGACAGTGGACTTGGTACATTCTCAAACGTTTCGCCAGCATCGTAGTCGGCATCATCAGCGAGTTTTGCCATTCGCTGTACCAACCTACGAAATCGTCAAAGAGCCAAGTGAAGCCAATCCCTCGACAAGCGTTCTGCTGGAAACGGTTACAATATCACTCCTCTTTCTGCCATTGCCTATCTATCTACTCTTTACTTTTAAGAAGGTACCAAGTCCACTGTCTGATGTTGGGAATCATGACAAATACTACGACAGACGACTTCAGACTAGGTGCGTTCTACATAGTCGCCGTGACAACAAGACCAAGTTGCGACAACGAGGTAAACCCACTTCTATAAATCGAAAGGAGACCAGAGGCCACAACATCTTGGTCTTCATATCTTCAATTATACTGACAAAGTTCTCGAAAAATAATTATACCGAAAGTAATGGCGACCAAGATTTGAAGGGTGTTTTGGATGCACACACACACACACAATGGATGTGAAAAGATAATTGCCTTCGCCTCATACACTTTTCACGTAATGTAAACCTGAAATGACTGGCATTTCACAGAAAAGTGTGTCTTGCAAGCAGCATGCCTCTTTCGCTTTTCAAGTCACAATCGTCTCGGAAACCCACGACAATGCTCGACTTTCTGAGGAGGTGAAGCTTGTGTCCACGCGAGATACAGACAACTGTCCAGCTTGAATAAAAACGGACGCCCACGAGACGCGATTAAAAGTTATTCTTTCTCTCCAACGCTTCATTAACATGTCACATGTTAGCTCATTCATTGTGTCGTTATGTCAAGATTTTCTCTACTCGCCCTTGAGAGATTGTGTCACTTGGGCGTCTCGACGACTCAACAACACGGCAACCATCAATCGGCATAAAAGCCAGACGATCGGAGGAGAAAAAAATGGGAATCAAGCACGGCAAAATGTCCCTTCAACTGGTGATGCGCTACAAGACCCAGAAAGCAGATGAGCCCTGGTTACCTGGCTTCAGGTCTCCCAACCCCACCCCACGCCCTCCGCAAACATGTAGGAATAAGCAAACGTTTTCCCACAGGAAACTTACGTCAACTGAACAACATTGCTTTGAACGGCCCCAGTGGAGTTTCTCGCAATGCAATAATAGTCTCCGCTATCTTCCGGGTAGCAGTAGACGATGTCCAAGATCGCAAAGCCGCGATCCAAAGTGGTGTTGAAACGACATCCTGCATGAAAGGGGTGAAAGGAAAAAGCGCAAATAGCCAACAGATTAATCACTCATGATTGTGCTCATTTGGCAAAATGATATCGGCAAATTGAGCTGAACATGAAATTATCTCAAATATCTTTTAGGGCCCTGTCTGAACCCGAGAAAGGTATCTGTTAGGCGGGGCAGGTACTAAGATAATGTTTATAAATTAAATAGATGTTGTGGCCTCTGTTACGGTCGCAGTCTCCTTTCGATTTATAAAAGTGGGTTGACCTCGTTGTCGAATGGAAAAATCATATTTACTTTTGCATTTCATAGCTTAAAACCAAAAATCTATCTTGCGATTGTTTGAGTCTAAGATATATATTTATGAAATTTGCCTAATTCTAGGTGAACTCGATTAAATTTGTATTATTTTCAACTTTAATTTATAAAAGTGGGTTGA